TATTAATTTTTATTGATGTCTTCCTGTAGCTAGATTTACTTTAGAGTTTCTCTAAAAACCTTTTTTATTCTATATTTCCTTGCATATTAATCTCTATTTATACCTTACTATTGGTAGCTGTGCTTTACAGTTTCTCTGAAAACCTTTTTCATCTTTATTTCCTTCCGTTTAGATTTTTATTTATACCTTACTATTGGTAGATGTGCTTTACAGTTTCCTTGAAAACCTTTTTCATTTATTTTCCTTGCGTATTAATTTCTATTTATACCTTACTGTTGGTAGCTGTGCTTTACAGTTTCTCTGAAAACCTTTTTCATTTTTATTTCCTTGCGTATTAATTTCTAATTATACCTTACTATTGGTAGCTGTGCTTTACAGTTTCTCTGAAACCCTTTTTCATTTTTATTTCCTTGCGTATTAATTTCTATTTATACCTTACTATTGGTAGCTGTGCTTTACAGTTTCTCTGCTTTATTTCCTTGCGCAGTTGGTAGCTTTGCTTTACAGTTTCTCTGAAAACCTTTTTCATTTTTATTTCCTTGCGTATTAATTTCTATTTATACCTTACTATTGGTAGCTGTGCTTTACAGTTTCTCTCAAACCCTTTTTCATTTTTATTTCCTTGCGTATTAATTTCTAATTATACCTTACTATTGGTAGCTGTGCTTTACAGTTTCTCTGAAAACCTTTTTCATTTATTTTCCTTGCGTATTAATTTCTATTTATACCTTACTGTTGGTAGCTGTGCTTTACAGTTTCTCTGAAACCCTTTTTCATCTTTATTTCCTTGCGTATTAATTTCTATTTATACCTTACTATTGGTAGCTTTGCTTTACAGTTTCTCTGAAATTCATTTTTATTTCCTTGCGTATTAATTTCTATTTATACCTTACTGTTGGTAGCTGTGCTTTACAGTTTCTCTGAAACCCTTTTTCATCTTTATTTCCTTGCGTATTAATTTCTATTTATACCTTACTGTTGGTAGCTTTGCTTTACAGTTTCTCTGAAACCCTTTTTCATCTTTATTTCCTTGCGTATTAATTTCTAATTATACCTTACTATTGGTAGCTGTGCTTTACAGTTTCTCTGAAACCTTTTTCATTTTTATTTCCTTGCTATTGGTAGCTTTGCTTTACAGTCTCTCTGAAACCTTTTTCATCTTTATTTCCTTTCGTTTAGATTTTTATTTATATTTTACTATTGGTAGCTGTGCTTTACAGTTTCCTTGAAAACCTTTTTCATTTTTTTCCTTGTGTATTAATTTCTATTTATACCTTACTATTGGTAGCTTTGCTTTACAGTTTCTCTGAAAACCTTTTTCATTTTTATTTCCTTGCGTATTAATTTTATTTATACCTTACTATTGGTAGCTGCTTTACAGTTTCTCTGAAACCCTTTTTCATCTTTATTTCCTTGCGTATTAATTTCTATTTATACCTTACTGTTGGTAGCTGTGCATGAAGTTTACCTTACTGTTGGTAGCTTGCTTTACAGTTTCTCTGAAAACCTTTTCATTTTATTTCCTTGCGTATTAATTTTATTTATACCTTACTATTGGTAGCTTGCTTTACAGTTTCTCTGAAAACCTTTTTCATTTTATTTCCGTTTATATTTATACCTTACTATTGGTATTAATTTCTGCATACAGTTTTTTTCTGAAAACTTTTTCATTTATTGCGTATTAATTTCTAATTTACCTTACTGTTGGTAGCTGTGCTTTACAGTTTCTCTGAAACCCTTTTTCATTTTTATTTCCTTGCGTATTAATTTCTATTTAACCTTACTGTTGGTAGCTGTGCTTTACAGTTTCTCTGAAACCCTTTTTCATCTTTATTTCCTTGCGTATTAATTTCTATTTATACCTTACTGTTGGTAGCTGTGCTTTACAGTTTCTCTGAAACCCTTTTTCATCTTTATTTCCTTGCGTATTAATTTCTATTTATACCTTACTATTGGTAGCTTTGCTTTACAGTTTCTCTGATAATCTTTTCATCTTTATTTCCTTGCGTATTAATTTCTATTTATACCTTACTGTTGGTAGCTGTGCTTTACAGTTTCTCTGAAAACCTTTTTCATCTTTATTTCCTTGCGTATTAATTTCTATTTATACCTTACTATTGGTAGCTGTGCTTTACAGTTTCTCTCAAAACCTTTTTCATTTTTATTTCCTTGCGTATTAATTTCTATTTATACCTTACTATTGGTAGCTTGCTTTACAGTTTCTCTGAAACCCTTTTTCATCTTTATTTCCTTGCGTATTAATTTCTATTTATACCTTACTGTTGGTAGCTGTGCTTTACAGTTTCTCTGAAACCTTTTTCATTTTTATTTCCTTGCGTATTAATTTTTATTTATACCTTACTATTGGTAGCTGTGCTTTACAGTCTCTCTGAAAACCTTTTTCATTTTTATTTCCTTGCGTATTAATTTCTATTTATACCTTACTATTGGTAGCTGTGCTTTACGGTCTCTCTGAAAACCTTTTTCATTTTTATTTCCTTGCGTATTAATTTCTAATTATACCTCACTATTGGTAGCTTTGCTTTACAGTTTCTCTGAAAACCTTTTTCATCTTTATTTCCTTGCGTATTAATTTCTATTTCTACCTTACTGTTGGTAGCTGTGCTTTACAGTTTCTCTGAAAACCTTTTTCATTTTTATTTCCTTGCGTATTAATTTCTATTTATACCTTACTGTTGGTAGCTGTGCTTTACAGTTTCTCTGAAACCCTTTTTCATCTTTAGTTCCTTGCGTATTAATTTCTATTTATACCTTACTATTGGTAGCTTTGCTTTACAGTTTCTCTGAAAGCCTTTTTCATTTTTAGTTCCTTGCGTATTAATTTCTAATTATACCTTACTATTGGTAGCTTTGCTTCACAGTTTCTCTCAAAACCTTTTTCATTTTTATTTCTTTGCGCATTAATTTCTATTTATACCTTACTATTGGTAGCTGTGCTTTAAAGTTTCTCTGAAAACCATTTTTCTTTTGTTGTGTATTAACTCTCGTTTTTATTTTAGATAGTTCGTTTTTAAATTTTTAATACCTAGTGTCTTAATTTATTTTTAATTTCTACTATTTGTGGCAAGTATAGTATGATCTATAATAACAATTGTATGTAAATGCTTTTGCCTATCAGATTAATTGAAATATTTCTGTGTATTCTCCCGTCAATGGTACTTTACGTTCCATTTGTGCAAAGGCACAGTCTTCTGTTTCAAGGAAATCATCGTGGTCTTTTGCATTTAAAGTTCTAAACTTTTGCCTGTGACTGATGGAATTCACCTTTCTTATTTCTCTGATTTTTTGCCTACATCAATGTCAATTTAAAAAGATTTTTCATTCTCCTTGTTCTTTTGGAAAGGTTTCCTTTTGAATTTGTGTTTTAACAGTATTTCCACTTGCAAAATATGTACCTATTTAATGTTATATAAAAGGGTTTTGATTATATTATCTATTTCCTACTTTGTACCTGCTTTTTAACACGCTTGTGTTGATTTATTTGTGGACTTCATGTTGCTGTAGAAACTATTTGTAGTCTCCAGCTAATGAAGGCAAGGATACTTTAGCCCCCATGCCCCCTATCAAAAGACGACTGTGGCGGTTGACCCCCCACGCTCCCCCTCTCCGGCGTCCCTGGAAGTCTCTAGCTGATGAATGCAAACCTCAACGAAACACCTATAACCAGTTGAGTCTCAAGCATTAATTAAATGATGCCCTGGAGTTTTCTTAATTAAAAGATTTCTTAAAATCATTTAAGTTTTTCTGACTATAATCTGGTTGTCTTTTTACTCAAGTGTGGTTGTTAAGGTAAGTGATTTGCTAGACCATAGTTCACAGAAATGAACTATGGCTAGACATTGTATCCAATCAAAATTCATACTTAAATTCTACTGCGTTAAAAATTGATTGTTTCCTTTTCATTTTCCCTTTTCCACAGGGCTGATTTCATTCAATTTTTTATGATGTTGTTTGAGGAGTAAAATTTCAGAAAAAAATGTTTTTGTATAGCACATAAACATTTTCTTTTACCCTCAGTAAATTATGCAGTATTTTTGTTTGTTTTTTACGATTTATTATTATCAATATTTTTTTATAAAGAGATCATCGTATTTTTTTTATAATTTGAACTTTGGCAGTATCCAGCACGGCATGCAATCTCCTTGAACCTCAAAAAGATGAAATTTCCGCCTTTCTCTGTTCACGCAAAAAAATAACCAAAACCTTTGGTACCAAATGGGTGCAAGAAATGCATGTATTTTTATCAACATAATATAAGCCTTTCTTGGTGGGTTAAAAAACGTTCTTAGAGAATATTCCATATTCTCAAGCCTGCGATTTGAATTCTTTTTGGTTGAGTACCCCTTTCCTCTTTTATGTCCCTGTTTTTGTCATAGGAAAAGCACCCCTTAGCGTGATATGTTTATCTTGAAACCCCAAATATTTCCGCGTTCCATTTCACTGAGGCTGCTCCCTGCTGACCACCTTCAAACAAAGGTATATCCACAGAATAATTGGGTCGGGAGATTACGCAAGAACACAGTAAAATTGATGCCTCTTGGGTATACAGGTACAACTTGAATGCCGTGCAAATCATTGATAAATTATTATCTCAGGCATCAACAAACTGTTGTACAAGCAGGAAATCGCAACTTTTATCAAACTGTCACCAATGATGATTATTTGCAAAATTATCAATGATCAAGGTCGATTAATTTTATAAATACAACCTATGACAATGATTGAATGACAATGGCTAATATCAAGACTGCACAGAAAGCAATAAACAACGTTTTGGATCGAAAATCACTAGAGAGGCGAAACCAAATAGCCAATCACGCGCCAATACTCCTTTTAGGTCATTTTCGATCCACCAAAGTGCTCAATTCCTGGCACACTTTTCAAATGCTACATCAAAACTTATGCATCAAATAAACCTTTAATAACAGAAAGACCATTGAGATATCATTAGAAAAACTTTCAAACGACTTCTAAGCTCTTTATTGAGACTGCCAATTTTGCTTCTAAAGATTTTACTGAGTTTGCGAACTTAGTTTTGCTAACGACACAGAAAAAGCAGGCAGTCTTTGGAAGAGTCTTTGGAAGCCCCGCTGTTTAAAACAAACTATGATCTTTATAACATCAAATTCAGAACTACCAAATGCTTTGAAATTTGAAATTAAAAGTTCTACTATATGCTTTTGAAAAATTCAATGGAAGAAGTATGTGCTTGGAGGGGTGCCTTTGGAGGGGACTCAGCCGCCGTGAACCTAAGTTTCATAAGAGGACTTCTTTCTTTAAAAACAAATTCGTTCTTCAGGAGATTTGTATGTAAACCCATCTCCTTTTATGGCTAAAAATTGTCCAGGATTGATTGAAGTAGACGAGATCCTGTTTGTTCCTTAAAGAAGTGTCTCTTAAAATGAAAGCTATGGAATTCCGTAAGGTGCCAACCACCTGCAGAAAACCAACAGCAGTCACTCTTTATAACCATGTACGATTTCACCTCTCTGTGTAGCTGTCAATTTTAAGGAATTAGACATTTCAGCTTTTTAGTGACATTTTCATAAATTTTCTAGGAAAGATTTCGCTGCCGCAGACACCCAGTGGACGCCGCAACAAGAGATGATGTCGATGCATCAGTAGAAAAGAGGCAAACGCACATGAAGAAAGGAACCAAGTCTCTATACAGAAATCCAATACAGACACTTTTTTCTAGTTTGTAATCGTTTACAGCTGTAAAGAATTTCTATGCATAAGAACGTTGCAGAAAATTTCTTTCCGTACGCCCTTATTACATCTCCCTGTAACTTGTCCCATCACATTTAGCTCTAAGATGAAATGCCCCTCGCCCCTAAAGCTTTTGTGCCGCTATACTGCCGAAAATTAAGTAGGGTAACACTGAATGAAAACCTGCTATTTGGAGCCATCTATTGTCGGAAAATGTGCAATAGAGTCCCTATATTAACGATAAATACACCCCCTTCAATATCGAGAAACATAGGTCAATACAATATCTAGCCCCTTTTCTATCCCATCCCTGCATCCTTAGTAAATGTATTTTCTGAAATTACTTTAATCCTTTATTGCCCCTCTCAAACTCTCCTTTTAAAACGGTGCACGACCAGTGTCTAGCTACTGCGAAAAGATGCCCATCTCCGTCGGGAGCATTCCCCATCATTGATACATTGTTTATGGTCTCCTTTTAGGTTCGCCCTTGTCAATTGCTACCCTTTACAAATGAAGAGAGTATTTTGAGATGAAGCTTTAGAAATCGTCTATTGAATTTCTTTTGTTTGAAGTGAGAATCCTTTGAATTGTTGGTTTTTGGAAAAATTAATTTTTACTCGCTCATCCAAAAGGTTAAAGTAAACATCCTTTTGTGGAATGGTAGCATGGATTGAGATAAATATTGC